TTTATCAGACATTGAAAAGTCAGTGTTAAGGAATTCGCAGAGCAATCCTTGAGTAGGAAGGGTGTGCACATGAAAGCGATTGAGAGTAGTTACGAATAACACAGCCAACACAGAGATACACTGAATTGTGTTTACTTTTAGGATATATTAAGGCACAGTCCAATAAACAGTCCAGGTCATACACGTATAAAGCAGTAGATAGTCAAACAATAGTCCAGGGATTATCCAAATAACAAAGTCTTCTTACCAGTCGTTGTAGTCATACACAATAACAGTTCTTACAGTTGCAAACAGTAGGAAACACAGCAAAAAGCAGTAACGAGCAATACAGATCAGCAAAGGTGTGAAGAGTTGTAAAGAGCATCAAAGAGAAACAAACCAGGTTTCTAGCTCCCTCTTAAGGACATTGGCTACAGAGCTAACCAATCAGGACACAGTATGTTGCAATACAGCAGTCTTAAAGCTATATTGATGATTTATACATTGCCAATCCAACAAGTTAGTAATAATCATTTCCTAACAATCAGGATATGGAGAATGCACTTGATGTGCCTCAAGGAAAGCTCACATGGAAAACACTTCATCCTTTCCTGATTAGGGCTTTTTCAAGCAGAGTTAGTGCCTCATTAACTTCTCTGGGACAGTTTGCCCTTTGAAATACAACTGAATGGCATCTGCTTCTTACTCAAAATCAATGAGGAGAATATATCATCTCCCAAGTCATTTCTGTCTGTTTGTCTAATAGCTTAGAAGAATAGCATTCAATGAATGGCAGATTTTGTGTTAGAATAGCAGAGTTGGAAGGGATTTTGGAGGTCTTCTAATCCAACCCCTTGCTCAAGCAGGAGACCCAATACCATTCCAGTTAAACGGCTGTCCAGTTTCTTCTTAAAAGCCTCCAGTGATGGAGCACCCACAACTTCTGAAAGCAAGCTGTTCCACTGGTTAATTGTTCTCACTATATAGGAAATTTCTCCTTAGTTCTAAGTCACTTCTGTCCTTAATTAGTTTTCATCCATTGATTCTTCTCTTGCCTTCTGGTGCTTTGGAAGTTGATAGAGAGAAGGAAAGATGCCACTTCTAAGATTGCACTTAGATTAAACTTACCACCAGTGGTGAAATATAAAATTTGTTACTACTGGTTCTGTGGGAGTGACTTGGTGGGGGGTAATGTGACTGGGTGGGCGTGGCTGACTTTTTTTTTTTACTTTTTTAAAGCATTTTTTTACAACCTATTCAGGCGAACAGATTGTAAAAAAATGCTTTTAAAAGGTAAAAAAAAAGGCTCTGATGATCATGTGCCACAGCTACCGGAGAACCGGTAATTAAAAAATTAAATTAAATTAATTAAATTAAATTAAAAGTAAAAAAGTAAAAAAACCAAAACTCAGTTGATCGTCAGAACTTTTTTTTTTTTTTTTACATTTTTTACTACCAGTTCAGCGAACCAGTAGCCTTTTTTTACTACCAGTTCAGATGAACTGGACTGAACCGAGAGCATTTCACCCCTGCTTACCACTCATACGAAGTGAGTTTTACTTATGGTAAATTCTTCTTCATGCTGAAGAAGAATTGTATGCATCCATACAATATGTTAAGTTGATTATTTCTAATCCTAATTAGAGGACGGGATTTGTTTTTCATTGAATTCAAGTGAAGATCCAGATCTCTTGGACTTTAATTCCAATTGCATATTGGTAAAAATGTTTGAACAGTAAGAACAAATTGGAAATAAATTCATAAGGCTAGGTGAATTCATAAAATGCCTTCAAGCAGAGACCGGTGGCTGTCATAACTTTAAATTTCATGCATCAAGCAGAGTAGCCTATACTGGGATAAGTACTACACCCCTAATAAGAATGGAGTCTATGGAAGTTTCAATAAAATAACAATGAAACATCCATTTTAATGAGTTCTTTTAAGTGGACAGAAAATGACAACTGAAGAAGCTGGCAAAAGATGCAGACCTTCACTCAGGTGAATAAAAGAAGGGAGAACATGGCAGATTTGTGGTGGAAAAGCACATAAATTAAGATAGCGGCAGAAACAAATCCCTTTGCCAAGTTTATCATTGTTAAGCAGACTAAAATATTGATTTTAAGGCCCCGGTGTTTTTTTTTTAAAAAAATTGTTCTTAAGTCCTCTTGAGTGTTGTACAAACAAGAAGGTGAAGCATATTCAATAACCGTAAAAATATAGTAGTAAGTTTAGTTCATGACAGGCAGTACAAGAAACAGATCATTTTTGTCTTTGAACCCATGGGTGATACTCTGAAAGCCCTAGCTTTGAGATATGGTTGTGGAGAAAATATGGCCTGGAGAAATATAAAATAGAATTATTGCCAGGTGTCCACTATTTGAGCGGACAGTCCACTTTTTTCACATTATGTTCACTATTTTTTTTCACAAAATAGTGGACATTTTTTTCATTCAAAAGCTTTTTGATGAAATGGTACGTAATCTAAAGCTGTACAGTCTAAGAGAATAAGGATAGGAGAATTGTGTTTTGTCTTTTTTTTCATAAGTTAGAATGAGACAAAGATCGAATGCTCATTGCAATAATCACATTTTACACAACAGCGCAAAAAATGCGTTAAAGCAGTTATCTTTTGATATCGAAAATGTAGTGCTGAAGGTTTTTGCCGAATTTTCGAATTCTGCGAAGAAACGAGAAGAGTTGAAATCATTTTTTGAGTTTTGCGAGTTAGAATTCCATGAAGTTTTGCGCAATGTTCCAACATATTGGTTAAGTTTGTTTAAAGCGGTCGAAAGACTTCTTTTAAACTGGATACCTCTAAAATTGTATTTTATTTCTCTTGGATCTGATGAGTGCCATAAGGTTATCTGGAACCTTATTTTGGATCAGGAAAATGAACTCGCAAAGGACGATGAACCAACAATTTCAGAATTGTATTTATATTTCACGCACTTCTTCATGTCAATAATGCAAGACACCCTACTGAAGCTGGAAAGCAAGAAAATTCTTGCATGTGATCTTCACATTATCATGTGTAAGCTGCGTGATTCTTTGCAAAAAAAATACGATGAGCAGTTTTTTAGAATGAAAGTTTTATTTGCCTTACGTAAAAAACATTTGCCTGAGAATGCCGTGCAAAAGTTCAAGAAAGAAGCCATCAACATGTATCAAAGAGCCATTGCGTACCTAGAAAAGTGGTATAATTTCACCGATTCAGTATATGAGACGCTAAATTGTTTCAATCTAATAGATCGCAATAATCCTCCAACTTTAGAAGAAATGACGAACATCTGGTTATTATCACCATGGCGAGAAGAACTTCCACCCAACACTCTCTTCGATGAAATTTCTGCCTTAGAAGAAGTTTATGTTCATCTGCAGGGCGATTCATCCCTTGATAAGTGGACGTACTTTTTCAAGAAAGAGCCAGCTCCAAGTTTACTGAAACTGTTCCAGTATTGTGCATCAATTCCGCTATCAAATGCAAACGTTGAACGAATTTTCAGCGTCATAGGAAATTTGTGGACTGACGAACGTAACTGACTGCTTGTACCATCAGTTTGAAGTGAACTTTGTATATTTTTTAATATTTCTCAACGTAGTACTGAAATTAAAGAATTATTCCTTAAACACAAAGAATTGATCAAAGCTGCGCAGTCAAATAAAAAATACACATGACAGCAAAGTAAAATGTAATTTAATATTTTACATATTATTATAATATATTTGATATTTTGAATTTTAAGTAAAGTTTTGAAGTGATTATTTTAATATGTGTTAAAATGTTTGTAAGAAAATATATAATTTAATTGTAAAAAATTTTTTTATTTTTTTTACTACTTAACCACCACCACCACCACCACCACCCCGCTTGTCCGCTATTTTTTGGAAGCAGACCTGGCAACCCTAATTATTTGGGACTGATTAATGATTGGATGTAAGAATGAGAACATTTCACTGATCTTCAAAAAAGGAGTTGATTTGAAGGGTCACAGAAAGTATTCTGAGATCATAGAAATATTAAACACCAAACTATATTAAGAAGAATCTTGACCAAATAATTTGGGAACATCTAGTCAAATACTTCTGATGTGACCTATATCTAATGCATTAATTGATGTAATTAATATGTCAGACCTGGAAGCCACCTTTAACATTTGGGCCTTCAGGCCTGCCACATTTTCTACTGTGGGAAAATGGGAGGGGGGATTGCATAGAGTATGGGTGATATGTAGTCAAAATAACATTCCTTTCTCAGAGAGTCAAGGATGCCTTGCCCTGGCACCTAGGATGGGATGATTGGGAGGTATCTCCAATTTGGACAGTGGATGATTGGACCATGTAATAGACATGTGGGTACTGGGCAGGGACTTGAACTTTCTTTTGGGTGGGGAAAACCTGGAAACTTTCAGATTTGGGTTTTCCCAGATGTGCCAATATGACATCTCTAATAAAATGGAACTTTGAGGAAACTCAAGCCTCGGAGTCTTCTTTCATTGGGGATGTTACTTGGAACGCTGACATAATACTGAGAACAATGTTCAAGTCAAAACAGATGGCAGTGGGACCTAGATAATCTTGGGGGGGGGAAGTTCTTGAATTGGAAACCAAATATAAATCCCAGCTCTGAAGGTAGGTTACAAGTGCCAGGAAGATAACATGGACATATTGTGTGGTGACCTGGACTGGTGCTTAATTTAAGAAAGACTTTGCCTTCTAAAATGTCAGGGGATATAGAGGAAGAATGGAGAAATAATTATCTGGGAGCGCATAAGCTGTGGGGTCCTTGGTACTCTCTGAATTTGGTGGTTTTCTTGAAGACATTTCATTACCAAACTAGGTAACATCATCAGTGCTAGAAGGAAGTGGGGTTTGGTCTTTTGTTTTAAGCTTTAATGCAGGTCTAAACTTTGATTGGAAAGGACCATTCAGCCATCTCCTCAGTCTGAACGACAATATGTTGCAGTTGATTCAAACTCAGCTTGTATTTACTCCTCTGTTTCCTTTCTCCTCTCTTTTAACAGCCTCGACAGAGAGTTCCCCATAAACATCATCAGCCTCTAAAGCTGCTGTCCTGCCAGATGATATAGAAGCGAACTTTTCCATCTGAAAGAATGATAATAATGATTTTTAAAAAGAAACCTAAGAAATGGCACTGCCAGAAGAAAACAGTCACCAAGAACTGGACCCAAATCCAACTGATCTGATTAACACGATAAGTATTGAATAGCCTCTGATTTGCTGATGGAATCCCAGCGTGGCATGTAACCAACGATAGAACTCTTTCCACCTAATAGTTGGTGGGGTTTTTTTACACCGGAAAACTGTTTCCAGTTTCATCACTGTGCGTAAACTTTATATTCCCATTAGGGAACCCTCTGTGACCTTCACTAAAGGGTCTGGGGATTGGGTTTAACTGAGTTTTGTTTTTAGCATGGCAAACAATGGATTATATTATATATGCAGATTGCATGGTGTTTTTTATGGGACCGGTAGTTCCAATTTCGCACACCCAAATGTTCACCGATATCCCTTTTCCCTACCCCCCGATAGGAACGTAGAAATATTTTGTCTTAGTGATACACGGAATGATAAGCTGTTTTACGGTATCTGCAATCCATACATGGTCTCCACACAGACATTCTAGCTGATTTGGTGTGTTATGGGAATGTTTCAGGTATCTGCATTGAGATTATACCTTGCGTGACTCACCATGTGCATTGCTTCAGTAGCAAAGTCGGCTTGGTAGCTCACCTGGATATTGTCGTGGCTGTTTTGATTCTCCACTTGTAAAAGTAGTAGAATGAGAGCACGTATGTTCCTTTGCTGCACCTACTCTCCAAAACGACAAGTAAGATTATATTTCTGTTGTTTCAATGCATGTTAAATAATAGAGAAGAAATTAATGGAGATAAAAGATTGCTGTCTTGTTGCAAGAATCCCTGGCTTTTGACGATTGAAGACACATGTAACATTTCAGTAGCAACGTGGCCAGTCTGAAAACATTCTCATTGCACACTGTAGAAATGCAGAGTTTTCTACTACACAGTTGTAGCAAAAGCCAGCTATAAAAAGTGCTGATTGGTTAGCATAGGTGAGTTCTTCCTGGCTGTTTAAAATGCTTGCTTGTTTTCAATAGAACAGACAAAAATACGAATAGCGAACTGATAAACGATTACCGTCTTACTCCACAAGCCATTTTAATTCTTTTTCCTTTGAAGGCACATGCCCCATTTAAAATAGCATAAATAGAGTAACAGATCAAGCTTTGGGCTTGCTAGTAGTGGAAACCAGAGGTGAAATTCAGCCGGTTCCTACCGGATCGCACAATACAGTAGGGCCGACTGCGCGAACCCCCTGTGAGGATGTCATGAGGTCCCTTTTTTGTGACAATTTTCAGCCTGCATGTGTGCATTTCCGAACCGGTACGGAAGGTAAGTGAATTTCACCCCTGGTGCAAACCTACTGTAGTGAGTACCCAGTACTGTATTACTGGTATATTTATCCTTCCCTCCTGGAAGTGACTCACTGAAAATTAGAACATCTACTTTTTAGGGGGCATATGGAGAAATGTTAAAGATAATGAAGGCAAACCACAACTCTTTGCAGGGAAATAGGGTGATTGCCCATCAAGATCTTCCTAGTTTCTTCCTAAAATAGAATTGCATTTGTTCAAGTATGTTCTTAAGCAGTTCTACCCAATGACATTTTCTTCCATTGACATCCAACTGAGTCTTGGGATTCACTTTTTTGTTTGTTTGTTATTGTTGTTGTTCATCTGATGTGCCATATTGACCTCAAATTCTTTTTCAATCAGCTATCAGCTAGAGTGAGCAAGCCAAAATTTTCACAGGCCAAGGATATGTTGAAATCTCAATCATCTTGAATAGTGCACTTAAGGATAATTTATGCTACAGATAGGTATCCACAAATATGTCGTGTTTTGAATATATCTTGACCCTCAGCTTTATACCTGAGATCTGTTTTGGGGGTTTTTTGCTCTCACAAACGAGTTTGAGCAGAAATGTTTACTTTCCACATAATTGTAGCCGGCTTAAGACTGTTGCAACTAAAATGAGCTCTGCTCTCCATTATTCTTTGTCCAGGTTTCCAGAACACAGCAGGCTGTGGTTTAATCTTTATCCTTACCAATTCTGAGTCAGTGCTTTCCCATACCACTTTTCTTCTGGAAACAAAAACCCTTTCTAGTAAAAAAAAAAAAAAAAAAAAAGCATTATAGGATCTGTAGAAAATAAGGGTCTGATTCTAATTGTCCCTAAATCAAGCAATGGTAGATCGTCAGTTGAACTTTCTCCTGCTTGATAGACTGTTACAAACTTGTATGGTTTTCACGTACACACACAGACACACACTTTTGTTGTGCCATTCATACTTTTCAACTTGTCAGTGTTTCAAGATGTACTTGGAGCTATTTTAAGAGAAGAGCGACTTATGTCCCTGCATGGATCCTGAACTATTCATCTCTATTGCTTCCTTGAAATGTTGTCGAAGATTTCTCCCTAGTCTAGATCACGGGTGTCAAACTCAAGACCGGGGGGCCACATCCGACCCACAGGGTGCTTAGATCCCACCCATGGGGCCACCCTGGAAAGAACAAAGGAGTGGCTTGTGATGCCTCTGCCAGCGAAAAAAGGCTCCCGAGCTCCGTTTTTGGCTGGGACGGCCTCCTGCAACCCTCTGCCAATGAAAACGGAGTTTAGGAGCCCATTTTTGCTGGCAGAGCACTAGGGTCACCACAGGCGCCCTGACACAAGTGATGTCAAGCTGACCACGCCCATCCTGGTCATACCCACCCCAGCACCCCAAGGATAAACAGAACCCTGATGTGGACCTCAATGACATCGAGTTTGACACCCCTGGTCTAGATCTTCCAATGGCTCGTGAAAGCCTTCACAACAGGAGTAAATCCAAAGTCAGTCATGTCTAGACACATTTTAGGTTTCAACAGAACTTTGATATGGGTAAACCACTTTCACAAGGAGAAATTTTTCTCTGTTGTGATTATTTGTGAAGGTTTTCATAACGTGTTGCCAGCATATGACAGATCCCTTTAGTTCCAGGGATGTTCACTCAGTGTAGTTTTTTTAAAAAAATTGTCAAGATAGGAGCCATTGAAGTCCTGTTTGATTTTTATGTGTGTTACCATGTGACACACAATCAATCAATCAAGTTCATTACAGTTAAAGACCAGAGATCAGAACAAATCAAAAAAATAAACCTCAAGGAGTATCCAGTTTAAAATTCTAGAATAAAGTAATAAATAACTGGGATAAAATCTATATTAAAATCACAATTTGGCATCCAATCTATCAGTTACACATAGCTTAAAAATTGGTACTATAGTACCAATCCTTAAACAGTAGCCCCCTAGTCATTAAATACTAAAATACAAAAGAGTAGTAGTGCAAAAGGGATTGCTACATCAGTTGTGTAAAATAGCTATGGTGGATTAATCACGTGTTTCCGACGAATCCCCAGTGCTGCTGCGTAGAATCTGGCCACTTGCGCTGTAATCACAGTGACACACATTAAAAATGGGCATTATTTTGCATGTTGTGGGTATCCTCGACTTTTTTTTTTTTTACTGTGCCCTCTAGACATCCTTATTTAGTTATGAGGCTCCTCTATTTGCAGCCTTCGTAGAGAAAAGATAGTGTGTCTTATTACATGAAGAAAAAAAAAAGACTTCCAAATATTAAAAACTCCCAGTCTTTTATGTTGGAGCAAGAAAGTAGCAAGGGAAAAGAGCAATAGGATTAAAGTAATATTCCAGAAAAAAAAATCAATTGCCATTAGTCTTAGACAAGACAGTCACCAATATTAAACTCTAATAAAGAACCAGATCTACAATCAGTGCCTCAGATTATTATCAGCTGTGATGACAAACCTACTTGCCTGTGCCTCAGTAGAATTACTACTTAACAGACTTTTTCAGCATATTTTTTTCTCTTTTCATCAATGGTTTATTGTATATACAGGCTCCTTTAATCAGCTTCCTCTCTTAACAATCCATCTGCAGACTCCATTGTCCAAGAAAACAGGTTGAGGCCTCCTAGATCAGATCTCACTGTTAGTCCAACATAATAAACTCTGATCAGCTAATAGCCTCTGGATCCATAGGACCTAAAAACCTTCTTCTGTGCTTCCAATGTATGGAATGTATATATTTTAGAGTCTTGATCTCTTCCGTTCCCTCTCAGTTTTCAATAGACTTGTATCTGAGACCTGCCTGAAAGAATAATAATAATAAATTTGACAAGTGGGAAGGGCCAGAGCAGAGTTCAGATTTTGAATGAAGAAGGTCCTAACTTCAATCACCAGCAACTTAAGTTAATCGAATCTCAGGTAGTAGGACTGGAAAAGACTACAACTATCAGATCTAGGTTGCAAAAATCAGAATGACCACTACATGGCAGTACAAAGTTACGTATTTTTCTAAATCACTACGCTACGGACCAGCACAAAGAAGGACTAGGGGAGACATGGTAGCAGTGTTCCAATATCTCAGGAGCTGCCACAAAGAAGAGAGAGTCAAGCTATTCTCCAAAGCACCTGAGGGTAGGACCAGAAGCAATGGATGGAAACTAATCAAGGAGAGAAGAAACTTAGAACTAAGGAGAAATTTCCTGACAGTTGGAACAATTAATTAGTGGAACAACTTGCCTGCAGAAATTGTGAATGCTCCAACACTGGAAGTTTATAAGAAGAGATTGGATAACCATTTGTCTGAAGTGGTGTAGGGTTTCCTGCCTAAGCAGGGGATTGGACTAGAAGACCTCCAAGGTCCCTTCCAACTTTGTTATTCTATTCTATTTAAAATAGTAGAGCAGCCATGAAGGCCTTGGAAAGGACCATCCAACCTTGTTATGTGTTTGTACCTACAAAGATAAACATTGTGCAAGCCATGAAAACAGAAGGTTTTCTCTGTATTCTATGGAAGTGAAAGTTGGACTTTGAGATAGCAAGATAAGGAAAAAGCATTGACACTTGTGAACGTTAGTATTGAAGAAGACCCCTGAGAGAATTGTGGGCAGCCCAAAAAACAAATTAATGGATCATCAAACAAATAGACCCCACGTTCTCACTGGAAGCAGAAATGTTTCCTACACTGGAAGCTCAAGGAGTCTTACTTCGGGCACATTAGACCTAGTTCTTTGGAAAAAGCTATAATTGAGATAGTCCTCAACTTACAACTTTTAGTGACTGTTCAAAGTTACAACGGCACTGAAAAAATCATTTTTCACACTTATGACCATTGTAGCATTCCCATGGTCATGTGATTTACATTCAGATGCTTAGCAACTGGTTCATATTTATGACGGTTACAGTGCCCCAGGGTCATGGGACCCGTTTTTGTGAACTTCTGACAAGCAAAATCAAGGAGGAAGTCAGATTGATTCAACCACTGTGTTACTAATTTAACAACTGTGGTGATTCACTTAACAAATGTAGCAAGAAAAGTCATAAAGCGAGGTGAAACTCAGCTGACAAATTTCTCACTTAGCAACATAAATTTTGGGCTGAATTGTGGTCATAGGTTAAGGACTACCTCTACTGGGAAAGACGGAGGGAAAGAGAAGAGGACAACCAGCAGCAAAGTAGATAGACTCCGTTACAGTATCAGGGAATAGATCACTGGAAAACCTGAGAGATCAGGTTACAATGAGATCATAATGGAGAAAGTCTGCATCATTACTAGGAATCCAAAATTATTTGAAGGTACGCCATCAAATCTTTGGTGTCATCTGGTGGTCTTCTATTTTTTTGCATTCCAGATCTGTTAGTTGTAGAAAAGACTTCTGCTTAAGGCTTAGAAGAAATCTTGCTAGTTTGGCAGAGATGATTCTAAGTTAGACAGACCAATGATCTTATTCAATATATTCAGTGGCGTTTAATTCATGTAGCAAAAGCAGAAACATAATTGCACACAGTGAAACTTGAAGCTTCTCTTCTGCTCCTCAATATATAAATATTGTCCATTTTCGTGTTTACTTTTCAATATTTGAATACTGTAGCTGCATCTCTCACCTTATCTTCCATTTAATATTTTCACAACTGGTTCTCAATATTTTCATGGTGGCACTAGTATTGCTCTTTCCAAATTCTCAAATATCGGTGGCCAGCTATAGCTACTCATTGATTTGATTGTGCAGTGATTTTCACACTTGTCTGCATGACTGCTCTTAACATCTTGAATCTCCTAATGTTGTTCATTTTTGACCTGCAAAGTTTGAATTCATGTAAATCAATGGTTCTCAACCTTTTCTTCACATTTTGTGGCCACAGACCATGGCCACCAAGGCTTAAGATTTAAGACATTAGGCTGCACCAAGCCTTGGAGACCCCCTGAGACGACATTGTGTGCCCCTCCAAGACTCCGTGGGCCACAAGTTGAGAACCACTGATATAAACAATTGGTTGGTTTCATAAGTACCTACATATCAACCAGAGACCACCTCCAGTAATGCAAAGCCAAACACTTACTACTTTACTACTAATACTTTCTGAAGAAATCCCAGCTGCCCAATGTACATTTTGAAGGTCTATGCCTGATCACATTCACTAGAAATTCTGAGGGTTATATTCCCAATCTAGAAAATGGGTGCCATCATGAAAGACTTACTATTAAGCATTTTATTCTGCATGATGATGATGATGATGATGATGATGATGATGATGATGATGCATCCCTACTGGATGACATTCATTACCAAAAGGTGCAGCAACTATTATTTACTGTTATATAGGTCTCAAATGTACAAAACTTCTCAGGTGTTACTTTAATCCAAAGCTAGAACTATACATTGGGTTGTGTACAATAGCTCATATTTTGCTTGTGGGTGGATAAGCTTCTAAAATGCTTCTCCAAGTTCTACCAAATCTCCTTCTGCTCCATTGTTACTATTGTTGACAACTGCTTTATTTTAGGATAAAATTAAGCACATCCAAGTGGTTTCAACAGAACAGATGTAAGCCAATGTTTAAGTCTCTGGTTTTTTTTTTTTTTTTTTAAAGTTTTTAACTTCAGCAAGAGTGCATTATTTCATTTAAACCAACAGTTCTTGATTCTGGTCTCTCATAAAATGACCAATGGGGAGTATTTATTTCTCATGGGCCTCAGGCAAATAAAGAATGCATTCTGACATGCAGTCTGGTCAAATATGTCTTTATTACCATGAAATTAAAATAAAAGTCTGAATAGTTACCATGTATGTGTGTGTGTGTGTTTGTTAATGGTTTGGTCATTTCTTTCTAAAGTTTTTTCACAGGGTGAGCAAGAGTTTCCCAATAGTAACAGAATAGTAACAGAATTGGAAAGGACCTTGGAGGTCTTCTACTCCAACCCCATGCTCAAGTAGGAGACCCAAAACCATTCTGGACAAATGGATGCCCAATCTCTTCTTAATAGTATTGGAATCCTTCTTATTTGTATAATAAAGCAGCAAGACAAAGTCTCCAGGATGAAAATTTTGAAAATACAGCTGCTGTATTAACTTGTAACTGGTAAATGATTTGGATTCAGTTCAAACTTGGATTGAATCCAAATTATTTGGGTTGAATTCCAAAATTGGTGCTAGCAGGACAAAAGACACTTGATACACTCTGCACTCAATTCCAAGGCCTTCTTATCTCTGATGCTTTAATCCTCTATCTCATATGATCCCTAATTGTAATGGGCAAGGAGAAGGCAAGACTACTTCTGGCCCTTTATTCAGCATTCTCAAAGATGGAATGTAAAGCTGCACATGAAATTCAATCCAAGCATGAAGCGTGCATCATTTCAATTTGAGGTAGACGAAGCCACAGCTGGAATATCAATTTTTAGTTAGAAAAACAGATTTTGGAGAAAGTTTGGTTGCGAATACCAAGATTTGAAAATGTTTATCTAATCTTGTTATGAATAGCAGAATAAAAGAATTGGAAAGGGCCTTGGAGATCCTCTAGTCCTGTGATGGCAAACCTATGGCACACATGCTCAAAGTGGCACGCGAAGCCATGTCATCCAGCACATGCGGCCTTTCCTGTTTGTCTTCTGGGTTTCTGGAGTGCATGCATGCCTGATGATCAGCTGTCCTTCATGTGTGCGGCAGAGCCGAAAACCGGTGTGCGCATGGGTGCTAGCCAGCTGATTGTCAAGTGCACATGCATGCCAGAACCCGAACATTCGGCTTTTCCAGAACGTGATCCCTTCGCATGCATGGCAGTGCCAAAAACTGGCCTGTGCATGTGTGCCAACCAGCTGACCATTGAGTGCACGTGCACACTAGAACCCAGAAGTTCAGCTTTTCCAGAGCACAGCCCCGATGAGTGCCAAAAAGGTTCACCATCACTGCTCTAGTCCAAGTGTCAGCAACCTGCGGCTCCGGAGCCACATGCGGCTCTTTGGGCCCTCTGCTGTGGCTCACTGTTGGGTGACCCCACCACTGGCTAGCCCCGCTCCTCACCCTCCCCTCCTAGTCACTCCTTGCCTGGCTTGAGAAGGTAAGGGTGATGGTGGGTGATGGAGAAGTGACCGGGGCAGAGACAGAGAGATACAGAGAGAGGGGGAGAGAGAGAGAGACATAGAAAGAGGGGGGGAGAGAGGGAGCGGGGAGGGAGAGACAGAGATGTCAAAAGGGTTTTGTGGTTCCTGGTGCTTTTTTAACAACAGGTTCTCTGCCCCTAATGACCGGCTGGGTAGGCGTGGTTAGGGGGGGTCATGTGACTGGTAGAAGTGACTGACATCGAGTTGGCCACGCCCACCCAGTTTTTGTGGCTCCTGATGTTTTCTTTTCTGTGGGAAATGGGTCCAAATGGCTCTTTGAGTGCTTAAGGTTGCAGACCCCTGCTCTAGTCTAAGCCCCTGTTCAAGTAGGAGACCCTATACCATTTCGGACAAAGGGCTATCCAATCTCTTCTTAAAAACCTCCAGTGATGGAGCAACCACAAATAGTGTTATGTATTGCTCCATGCCCACTTCCAGGACATACTGGAAGTGGGCATGATAGATGGTGCTAAATAATGTCAAAATAATGGATATGACCGGGCATGAACCTCTTCCTTTTTACAGGTAGTCCTCAACTTGTTGCTGGTTGGTTAGTGATTGTTCGAAGTTACCATAGATCCCCAAAAAACTACTTATGATCCAAGTGTAAGCTATTGACAGCTGCTCCTCCATAATCACATGACCGCATCCTGGACACTCAGCAACCAGCCAACAGTTATGTCTGTTTGTAGTATCCTGTGGTCACATAATCATGATGGATTATAGTTTTGCTGGAAATCGACTTTTACTTCCAGTTTCCCCCCTCCCCCAAAAAACCTCATAGCCAACAAGGGGTTTACACAGCGTTTATTTAACATCTGCTACAACCCAAGATCGTAAAATCGGTCATGCGATGATCGTCTTAAGTACCCTCACAAGTTACTACTGTAATTGCAAGGTCAATTATGGTCATAGGCCAAGGATTACCTATATATGTGTATAGTGCATGTGGCACACATTGAAAATACGTAGTGTGGTTTTGACAATTTGGGTTGTTAATTACAAACAGTTGGTAGAAGTTAGTATTTTCTGGTGAGTTGGCAAAGTTTTCAGATCTCTCTCCCTCCCTCCCTTCCTCCCTCCCTCCCTCATACAAACTGCTCTTCCAGTATAAAACAAGCATTTAAAATTAAGCTGAAAATTAAAAAAAAACTATAAAACTGGATGAAGAGACTGGAATACATTTGTCTGGCACCAAAAACATGTTAAAGTGGGTGTTAGGAACACCTGCCTGGGGAGACATTTTAGTCATCTACAAGAATTTCCCCTTCTTGTTGATTGCTTCCCCCCCTTATAACACCAACTCTCTTCTGTTTTTGGAGCTTATCTTTTCCATCCCCTCCTCCATTCAGTTTCTTGAAGTCTAAAGCTTTTATCTCCTTCCTTTACCTCCTTCCATCTCTATCCATCAGGGGTTTTTTGGGGTTCCTTCTCAAATTAAGCTTTGATCAAGTCCCTTGGTCATTATACTTGCAGGAGACCTTTGTAAAAACTCATGTAACCTGCTGTTAACTGAACCCGATGGGCAAAAATGAGACTCCCAAAGCAGAAGAATAAGTTACCAACTTTCACATGAACCAGGAAGCTTACAGAGCTGGGTCAACAGTATGAAGTTCAAAGGTCATCAGCGCAAAAATCTGGATTTAGGACATTAGGGGACTTTTTTAAAAAAATTTATTTAGTGACGTGGATGAACTAAGGAAGGAACACAGAAGTTGTGCAATGGAAGGCAGCTGGCATCAAGCTAATAGGCTGGAGTCAAGGTCCACTGAGAGGAACACCCATGACTTGGCAAAGATTTAGCACAAATCATCAGGCTTTTGCCTAATCCTTTCTGTGTTACAGAACAACTTTGTCAAATAACAACACTTTAACACCTTCAGCACCTCCCTGCATTCTATCCTGGATCAGTTCTTGCAGAAGAATAGAATAGAATGGAATGGAATGGAATGGAATGGAATGGAATGGAATGGAATGGAATAGAATAGAATAGAATAGAATAGAATAGAATAGAATAGAATAGAATAGAATAGAATAGAATAGAATAGAATAGAATTCTTTATTGGCCAAGTGTGATTGGACACACAAGGAATTTGCCTTGGTGCATACACTCTCGGTGTACATAAAAGAAAAGATACGTTTGTCAAGAATCAGAAGGTACAACACTTAATGATAGTCATAGGGAACAAATAAGCAATCAAATCATATTAGGAAACAGTCAATATAAATCGTAAGGATACAAGCAACAAAGTTACAGTCATTAAGTCATAAGTGGAGGGAGATGGGTGATGGGAACGATGAGAAGATTAATAGTAGTGCAGACTTAGTAAATAGTTAGACAGTGTGGAGGGAATTATTTGTTTAGCAGAGTGATGGTGTTCGGGGAAAAAACTGTTCTTTTGTCTAGTTGTTCTGGTGTGCAGTGCTCTAGAGCAGGGGTCCCCAATCTTTTGGACCTCAGGGACCACTAAATTCATAATTTTAAATCCCATGGACCACTAATGACTGGCTGGGTGGGCGTGGCTAGGTGGTCATGTGACTGAGTGGGTGTTGCCAACTCGATGGCCAACTCAATGTTACTCACATCGAAGGGTTCCTCGCCGGCCTCTGCTCACCCCTCTCCTGCCAGCCACTCCTTGCCTCCCCGCCCGGGCTCCTTAGGGCCTCAACAGGAAGCAGTTATTGGAGCTAAGCAGCCACCATGAGAAAGAGTTGGCAAAACAGCTGGCTCAGTTCAAATTGGATCTGGCCAAGAAGGAGGCTCAGCAGAAGCACCTCACTCAGGACTAGGAGCATAGGCTTTCCAAGCAGAGGGAAGACCTGCAGGAGTGCAAGGCCAGGTACCGGCACCTGGAGGCTCAGCAGGCTGAGATGGTCAGCCAGTTCCAGACTATGATGCAGTCCCACTAGAACAAGGCCCTCCGGCTCCTTGCCACCAGTGGCACTTCCTTCCAGCCTTTGCCCAAAACCTCACCAGGAGGCTGAAGCAGACCCCATGTCAGAATTTCTGCCCCCTTCCAACCCACACAAAAGGACCCTGAAGGGAGAGACTCTCTGCATCAACACAAACGTTCATTGCACATATTGGGCCCAGAGGCTGTAGTTTGAGGACCCCTGATTCAGTGCAATATTAAAAAATGCAAATAATTTTTCTGCGGACCACCAAAATTTTCTCAGTGGTTTACGGACCACCAGTTGGTGACCACTGCTCTATAGCATCATTTTGAGGGTAGGAGTTGAAACAGTTTATGTCCAGGATGCGAGGGGTCTGTAAATATTTTCACAGCCCCCTTTTTGATTCGTGCAGTATAGAGGTCCTCAATGGAAGAGTCCACCAGATCTTCATCCAGTCCTTTTGAAGGACACTTTCCCTGTCTATGGAGATTCTCAGTCATCCAAGTCTTGTCCCAAAACTGCTTTTTCAAAAGGCAACTGGACTTTGTTTTTCCTTGAACTGAAGTTCCTCTGAACCGAAGAGGAACTTCTTGGGTGAGAAGTAAAAGGTCTTAAAGGAAAAACAAAGAAAGTCCAGTTGCCTTTTGAAAAAACACCTTTGGCTTTCCGCTTCTCTATTCTCTTCCTCCCGATGTGATGAATGCTACTTTACTGAATTGTTTGCCCACGTAACCCAGTACTGTCTAATCTGATTTGCAGCAGCTTTCCAACAGTCTAAATTTTTC